AGCAGGAAAGGATGATTAGGGTTAGCTATGATGCTAGGTAGGTATGTTTACACTACACATTCATATAAGTTTATCCCTACATGTGGACGCCAAGGCATGGACCAATGAGATGGGTTTGCAAGCAACCCACCCTGCAAGATCAGAGACAAGTCTACCTGGTGAGCTGCAAATGCTGACAACGTCACATACTTCCCTGAAGATAGACGTGGAAAACTGACTGATAAAGGAGAGAGTAAGTCAAATTCATTATACTGCTTTCACTTATACATACCAGTATGAAACACAATCATGTTGGATCTTTTTAGAGGTTTCCTTTTTTTTTTTTAAGTCTTTTAGAAGCAAGAGAAAAAGAGAAGTCAGTTGAAAATGTTGCCACTGATGAGTAAGAAAGATATTAGATTTTGCTGCCATAGTTACTTGCCAGAAAGTTCTTTTTTCTTTTTCTTTTTTTTCTGGAGATGTGCTATTTCACTTCAAAAAATGAAACAGTTTGACAAGTGATTCTAGGGGCTCTCTCACAACAATTAGTATCTGATACTGAGGTGGCCCTTAATGCCACAAAACAAAATGGGAAGTTCCTTTATAAAAATCAAAGAATACTGATTTCAATGCCTATCATAAATTTCTAAGTTAAAGTCTGGACTAAATACCAAAGCAAGCTATTTCAATCATTTCCACAAAAAAAAAAAAAAAAACAAAAAAAAAACACCTAACATATGAATGAAAGATGGTAGTTATTTGACTGGAAGCAGGCATAATCCAGTATAGCTGTATTAGTTTTCCATGTCTGCTGTGATAAATTTTGTGATTTAACATAACAAAAAGTTATCTTATAGTTCTATATATCAGAAGTCTGGCATGGATCTCACTGAACTAACATATACTTGTTGGCAGGGTGCCTTCGTCTCTGGGGGATCCAGGAAGGAAGAATCCATTTCCTTCTCTTTTCCAGCTTCTAAATGTCACCTGCTTTCCTTGGCTCATTGTCCCCTTTCTCCATCTTCAAAGCTACCAATGTTGGGCCAATTCCTTGTCTCACTGCCATCTCTCTGGTTCTCCTGTCTGCCTCCCTCTTCTACTTTTAAGAATCTTTGTAGCACTGAGCCCATTCAAATAATCAGCATAATCTCCCTATCTGATTAGCAACCTTAGTTCCATCTGTAACCTTAATTCATTCCCTTCTGTCACGTAACTTAACACATTCACAGCCTTAGGATATCAGGATTTTAAGGACATCTCTGGAGCCCATTCTTCTTCCTACAATAATAGCTTTCTTTAGCTGGCAGGAATGAGGAGCTCGACAGACTGTAAATATTGCCCTTACAAATATAACCCTGTTCTGCAGCAGTTTTGGCAAGGTTTCATATGGTCCCCAATACAGAATTTTATATGTTATGGACTGAATTAAGAGATTTAAGAACCAACTTAATAAATGCCTCACATATATTTAAAGTTTTGCTTTTTAGGTTTAATCATGAAATTTAAAAGTAAAAAACATACATTGTTTTTGTCATCAGTTTTATTATTGAATATGAAGAAATAAGCTTATTTTATAATAGCTCATTTTGGTACAAGTCAATGTATTCTTTTGTAAAAGAATAAAAGTATTAGTCTCTCTAACTGGAACATAAAGTTCACATCATTCAATTATGTATTTGGATTTTGTTCATTACTCTAATTTCAGAGTCAGACAACTAAGACAGACTGCTCACCCATAGATCAGTAGTGCTCACCCATATCTGATTCTCTCCTCCTTCGACACAGGTAAGACTGTACTTCCCATGCCCTTGCTGGAAAGTTGGGCCACATGACTAGTTTTAGTCAACGAAATTGAAAGGAAGTAATTTCCAAGCTGAAGAACTTATGTGTAGGTGTACTACTTCCAATCTATTCTGCTGATTGTGGGGGCAATGCAAGCCACATGCTGAGATGGTGGCAGTACAAAATAGAAGCAGCCTTGGTCCTTAGTAATTGCACAGGGAATATCTGCCCTGATAGATTCCTTCCCACATTGGACTTTATAGGAATGAGCTATAAACTTCTTGTTACCTAGGTCAGTAGGTGTATTTGTTACAGCAGCAAGTCTAGCCTAGCCTGAACAATATAATTGAGAAACATCACATTGTACTTTACAGAATCAAAGACACTATCAATTTTGAAATTAATCATTAGGAGATATATTACTAATAAAACTACTGTCCATGTAATTATGATATACCATTTATTTTAACATGCATCTCAATTTCAGAGATGTTCAAATGTACAAAACTGTGTACTTTAGACTGGATGACATATGGTATATGTCTAATTGTAAGGAAACCTAGAAAATTTTAAAACTTGCCTCATTTTCTAATAAGAATATCAAATTTGAATGTCGAACTACTAGGAATATACGTCAGATAAATTTCTATTTATGATACGTTGTTAGTTTAGTAACACATTTAAACTTATGCTCTCATATTATATAAAATATTTAGAGCTACTGATTCTTTCCCACTCTGCAATTTCATGAAATACAATTATTTAAACTCCTCACACGCATACAGACTAAGCGTCCTTGTCATGACTATGAGTTGTGTAACTCCTTCCAGCTCATATGTTTCAGATAAAGCTCCCCTTGAAATCTGCATAGGAAACTGTCAGTACAAGTTTTATCTTTTTCTTAGCCCGTCTGCACTATTATAACAAAATATCAAGGACTGGGCAATTTATAAAGAACAGAAATTTATTTCTCACAGTTCTGGAGGCTGGGAAGTCCAAGATCAAGGCAACAGCAACTTCAGTTTTGTGGTGAGGGCTGCTCTCTACTGCCGACAGGGCATGTTATTGCTCCGTCCTCTGGAGTAAAGGAACATTGTGTCCTCACGTGGTGAAAGGTGGAAGGACAAGAGGGATAAACTCACTCCATCAAGCCCTTTGATAAGGGGACTTAATCCCATTCAAAGGAGGGAGTCCTCATGAGCTAATTGCCTTTTAATGACCCACCTCTTAATACTATCGCACTGCCAACAACTGAATTTTTGAGAGCAGACATTCAAGTCATAACAATCTTACAGTACAAGTACAGTCATGCACTGCATAATGACGTATCAGTCAACAATGAACCACATATACAGTGGTGTTCCCATAAGATAATAATTAAGCTAAAAATTCCTAATACCTAGTGACATTGTAGCCATCATAACATCATAGAGCAACACATTACTCACATGTTCATAGTGATGCAATGTAAACACACCTATGGCACTATCAGTCACATAAAAGTATAGTGCATAAAAGTATGTAAATATTATCATAACTACGTTACTACTTTATATATTTACTATACTACACTATTATCATTAGAGTATACTTCTACTTATTTTAAAAAAGTTAACTGTAAAGTCTTCAGAAGGTATTCCAGAAGAAGACATTGTTATCATAGGAAGTGACAGCTCCCTGCATGTTATGGCCCCTGGAGTCCTCCCAGTGGGATGAGATAATGGAGGTGAAAGGCAGAAAGCATAGGCTAATATGTGTGTTTGTGACTTAGTTTTCAACAAAACTTCAAAAGTTAAAAAAAAATTAATGTTAAAAATAGAAAATGCTCAATCTACCCATCTGACAAAGGGCTAATAACCAGAATCTACAAAGAATTAAAACAGATATACAAGAAAAAAAACAAACAACCCCATTCAAAAGTGGGCAAATGATATGAACAGACACTTTTCAAAAGAAGATATACATGAGGCCAATAAACATATGAAAAAATGCTCATCATCTCTGGTCATTAGAGAAATGCAAATCAAAACCACATTGAGATATCATCTCATGCCAGTTAGAATAGTGATCATTAAAAAATCTGGAGACAACAGGTGCTGGAGAGGATGTGGAGAAATAGGAACACTCTTACACAGTTGGTAGGAGTGTAAATTAGTTCAACCACTGTGGAAGACAGTGTGGCGATTTCTCAAGGATCTAGAAATAGAAATTCCATTTGAACCAGCAATCCCATTACTGGGCATATACCCAAAGAACGATAAATCATTCTACTATAAAGACACACGCACATATATGTTCATTGCAGTCCTATGTACAATAGCAAAGACCTGGAACCAACCCAAATGCCCATCAATGATAGATTGGACAAAGAAAATATGGTACATATACACCAGGAAATACTATGCAGCCATAAAAAATGATGAGTTCGTGTCCTTTGTAGGGACTTGGATGAATCTGGAAACCATCATTCTCAGCAAACTGACACAAGAACAGAAAATCAAACACCACATATTCTCACTCATAGGTGGGTGTTGAAAATGAGAACATGTGGACTCAGGGAGAGGAGCATCACACACTGGGGGTAGTTGGGTGGGGTAGGGGAGAGACAGCGGTGGGGAGGGAAGGGTGGGGAGGGATAACACGGGGAGAAATGCCAGATATAGTATGCACCTAAAGTTAAATAAATAATTTTTTTAAAAAAAGAAAAAAAATAGAAAATGCTTATAGAATGTTACAAAAAAGAAAATATTCTTGTACAGCTGTACAATGTGTGTTTTAAGCTCAGTGTTATAAAAGAGCCAAAAATTTTTAAAAAATTAAATTTTATAAAGCAAAAACATTACAGTAAGCTAAGGTTAATTTGTTATTGAAGAAAGAAAAATATTTTAAAAATAAATTTAGTGTAGCCTAAGTGTACAGTGCTTATATATAAAGTCTACAGCAGTGTACAGTAGTGAATGTTCTAGGCCTTCACATTCACTCACCACTCGTCACTGACTCACCCAGAGCAACTTCTAGTCCTGCAAGCTCTATTCATGGTAAGTGCCCTGTACAGGTTTACCATCTTTTATCTTTTATACTGTATTTTTACTGTATATTTTCTATGTTTAGATACACAAATACTTACCCCTGTGTTACAACTGCCTACAATATTCAGGACAGTAATATGCTGTAGAGGTTTGCAACGTAGGAACAACAGGCTATACCATAGATCCTACATGTGCATTAGACTATATCACCTAGGTATGTGTAAGTACAATTCTCTGATGTTTGCTCAAGGATGAAACTGCCTAATGACACAATTTCTCAGAACATATTCCTGTCATTAAGAAGTACAGGACTGTATTCATTTGAGTGATATTTGAACAGGTTTTCTGTATGTTGTTGTTTATCCTGTCTCTGTAATTTTTATAATATAACTACTTACTATCCTTTTTAAAGCGCCTTTCAAGACTTGTTAACAAAGACATCCCAGTTTTACAACTTAGGCTAGGGCAGGAGTCAGGTGCATAACCTCAGTACTGTAAGGCAGCATACGATATGTTCTAAGAAAGGAGAAAAATGATCATGGAGATTAGTCAAGGAGTTCTGGTAGGAGACATCAGAACATGTCAAATCAAGGAGGAGGTCTTTGAGCTGGGTCTTAAAGGACAGGTTAGATTCTAACAAGTAGGCAAGAGGTGATAAGCACCATCTAACCATTCTATGTCTGGCTTGGTAGTAATATCTCCTGTAACTGAGCTAAATACAGTAATAGACATGTATGTTACTATATGTTAGCATAACATACAGTATGTTACAATATTAGACTATATCAAACATACAGTATGTTATGCTAACATATAGTAACATACATGTCTTACTGTATTTAGATATGTTATATCTAATACATGGTATCTCACTTAATACAGAATTTTCAGATTGGTATTACTAACTGCATTTTATTAAAAATTAAAAAATAAATTTAAAAACTGCAAACCAGAGAAATTACCTTCCTCAAAATCACAATGCCATCACATGGGAAAGACAGGACTCAAATGCAGTTCTGAATGATTCCCTTTCTTATGGCAGCTTAGCTTTCTTTGGGCATCACAACAATGTTCTCCAAGTGGTAAGCACATAAGCCCTGAGCACGACTGTGAAACCTGCATGCATGGAAAATAAATTCATCAACTAAAGGAAAACCACACCATGGTATGTGCAGAGCACTGTCTGAAGCACACCTTATATAAGGTTTGACTCTATTTCATTTGTTTTTATCCAACCTTAAAGTTATGATTGATACTTATTTAATTTTATGCTTAATTGATTTGTTCCAAATCTAAGCCATGATGAGCCAAGCAAGGCCACTTAAGGATGCCCTCTGCCTTACCAGCATGATCTTTAGTTTAATAACTACTCTATGATTTATATTTAGCTAGGGGATGATCCATGGGATCACATATAGCCTTCCCAGGTGATTAACTTATTTTGAAAGGTCCATGGATGCTGTTTGTCCCCCATGGATACCTGATGTTCTAAAACTGATTTTCCCCTTATTTGTATTATGCTTGCTTAGGATGCCACATCAAAGTGGCTTGTTGGGCAAGTGTTAGTCAGCATCTAGCTTAATCTTTCAACTTGGTTAGAATCTTTGAAATTTCAGTTAGAGACTTGTCATACAGAAGGAACACTCTAAATTATTAAATATGCCTCAGGGTAAAGATCACGACATCTTCATTCAATATTAGATTCATTCTAATTATCCTCTAAAACTCAGAAATTAGTGAGAACTGCAGGCATCTTTATTCCTGAGTGCAAGTATTAAGAGTCAGGTAGAAACACTATTATGAAATGCAAATATAGCTCAGTGGCATATGTGACAATTATGAAATAAAACCACCATCAATTTACGTTTATAAATCAAGTCTCGAAGACATCTAAAGCTCTGGAAAAGATGAAAGATCTAGGAATGTGGAAGTAACCCCTGGCATTTGTTTGGTCTGCTTTTCTGAGAGCTAAAGAGCCAGGCAGCTCCACCAGCTTCTCCATCTTGGGCCGAGCTTTGGAGTGTGAACTATCTATCACCTTTTGTTCTATTATGCTCCAGCTGCTTTAGTGGGCATTAGGTTCTTTTAGATCTGCTGGTAGGATCTCTGCTACTCAGATATGTCCACCTCTATCCGCAACTATAAAGACTGGAGAGAGGAGCTAAAAGATCCCTGTCTCTTATCTCCAAATAGCCAATTTTCCTCCTGAGAAAGGACCCCAAAGCTTTGTTAACACTCCTTGTGGAAGACAATGTTGTTCAACTGATGTTACAAGAAAATCTCAAACCCCATGATCACCTTCTGGATTAAGGACTTTGTGTCCCAGGTGATGTCCAGATATCTTCCCAATTGCTTTGTATCGCCACGACTTCACTCACATCTTTTTTGGCCATTCATTAGCTAACACATGGACAACTGAGCATTACATTTTTTCTTCTGAATATTTTAACCATTTTTTTTAATTTATCAACTTTATTTGGGTATAATTTATATACAATAAAATGCACCAATTTAAAATATAGAGTCCAGTGAGTTTTGACAAATATACACATTTGGGTAACCATCACCACAATCAAGAGAGCAAACTTACAAACTTTTCTATCACAACATAAGGTTTCCTTGTGCCCTTTTGGGGTCAATTCCCATCACCACCACCCCCAGGCAACCACTGTCCTCATTTCTATTATTATAGATAAGTACTTCTGGTTCTGGAATGTCAAAGAAATGGAATCACTCAGTATGAACTCTTACTTGAGGCTTCTTTCACTTCACATAATTTAAAAAATATTTATCTACATTGTTGTTTATATCGGTGTGTGTTCCTTTTCACTGTCAAGTAGTATTTATTTCATGGACAAACTACACATTTGCTTATCCATTCATCTGCTGATGGACACTTGAATTCTTATTTTTAGTACTTATGAATAAAGCTATAGACACATTTGTATACAGGCCTCCTTGTAGACACATTTTTAGATAACTATTGAAAAGTGGAATTACTGAGTAGAGGTTTTCTTTCAGATAACTATCTAAAAGTGGAATTACTGAGTGAGTGGAGGTTTTCTTTTTTAAAATTAAAACAATAAATACATATGATGTTTAATTAACAAAGTTCAAATCACTTTATTTCCACTTGAACATTTAAAAAGTAGAAGTGACACCGTAAATCATAAAGCAGCCCAGAAGTGCAAAGGGCATGTGGAGTTCCTACAGGCAAGCAAAGCACAACTACCTAGAGGTCAGATCTGTCTCTGAGCACTGGGCTCAGTGCTTGCTTAAAGAGTGGCTGAACATGAAGTGAAGAGGTGACAGCTGGTCAGGATGTGGGTAAGCAGTCAAGGCCTATTTCACTGCAGTCTCCACATCCGAATGGTGGGGTAAGGAGTCATGCTCCTGGTACAACCAGGCCCAAGAGTCTCAGGCAATTCCAGCTTTGCAAAAAACACTGCTCTGAAACTCAGCTGTGAGTTTCTAAATAAAATAAAATAAAATAAATACACACAGACACACAAAAGGTTAGAGTACAAGCAAGTTCCTGGCAAAATTTAATGTGCAAGAAATCATTAGCATCCCATATAAGGAGTTAAATAGGGATAATTTCTTTGACATTCCAGTTGTACTTTCTCATTTGATGATAATGGTTACCCACGACTTTCTCTAGATTAAATCAGCAGTAGTCAACTCACGCATATCAAATGTAAATAATAAGTCTTATCCTGCCTTTTTTCTCTGCAACTAACTCCTGTTAGCCCAGAGGGAATTTTCCAATTCAACATCAAAGACTGATCAAACATTTGGTGTAGGAGCTTTGAAAGAATGACTGTAATTTTATTTTATATATACATGCTAGATAAAAAATAAACAGAAACTTCCTTTGGGTGCTGAAAGTTTGCAGTCTAATCTTTAAAAGGCAAAAAGCATTGGGAAAATAATTAATCACTTCAGAGCTCATCAACAAATTAAGTCTCATGTTTCCAAATTTCACTTCAGTTAATCTCTGTGATCACTAATTATCTGGTAGTTGCCCACCATTCTAAAGATTTGTCAAACCCAAAGGTTGCATTCTTTTTTTCTTCTGTTTTTACTTTTAATTTAGTTTCATTATAATACTATTCACAATAGCAAAGACACAGAATCAACATAAATGCCTAACAAGGTCGTATTTTCACAGTTCTAAATTTATTTTTTGAATTTAATATTAAGAAAGAATAGCACTTAGAAAGTATGAATTTACAGAGAGGAAAAAAATAAGGGAAACGGTTAAAGTATTTTACAAGGCATCTGTTTGATCTAAAACTATTATGTATGTTTTCTAAACTGATAGTTTATCATAGAGTCCTAAGTAGTGTTTACACTTACAACATGAACAAGGCGGTCAAAGAAGTAGATTTGGCCATTTCCAGTTTGGCTGGTGAATCAATACACTGTCTACCATACTGAAGCTTCCATGACAAAAGAAAATGAGAGGTAAGAAGGACATAGCTTGAGTTTCCCATAGTAGCTGTGGTCAAGACTAGCTAGGGAGTAATTTGGCCACTACAGTTCACAAAAATTAGCATAGAGACACATGACAAAGATTCTGCCTTTTGAAAGTCCAATTCCTGGCCAGGTACCACGGTAGCTCACGCTTGTAATCCCAGCACTTTGGGAGGCTGAGGTGGGTGGATCACAAGGTCAGGCCTTCAAAACCAGTTTGGCCAATATAGTGAAACCACATCTCTACTAAAAATAAAAAAAAATAGCCGGGCATGGTGGTGGAGGCCTGTAATCCCAGCTACTCGGGAGGCTGAGGTAGGAGAATCGCTTGAACCTAGGAGGTGGAGGTTGCGGTGAGTGGATATCGTGCCACTGCACCCCAGCCCAGGAAACAGTGCAAGACTCCAACTTAAAAAACAAAAAAAGAAATAAAGTCCAATTCCTTTGACATGTTTTTCTGCTTCTTACAAGTCCATTGCTTCTACCCACCACCAATGAAAACACACGCTTTGGGTGAAGTGGAAAGGATGGTGTACTAGATAGAAAGCAGGAACTCTGCAGTCCGTAAGCAAATCACTTAAATTCTTTGGCTTCTCATCTATGAAATGAAGTATTATTAAGTAATTTTCCTATTTGAAACCAGGAGGAAGCTCAGACTTTTTTGTCCTGGGCCACCCATTCAATATCCTGTCCTGGGACTTCCTATGCATAGTGATGGCTCTGTCCTCCAGCAGAGCACAAGCCACAGGTATCAGGAACTACATGCTGCCTAACTTTCTCAGCTGGAAAGGGGTCCAACTCTCAAGAGAGGGTTCTTGAACCTTGTGTGAGAAAGATTTGGGTCAAGTTCATAGAGAAAAGTAAAAGCAAGTTTATTAAGAAACTAAAGAAACAAAAGAATGATGCTCCATGGGCAGAAGAGTGGCAGGGGATACTGAATAGACTTATAGTTGTTTCTTGATTATATGCTAAACAGCAGGTGGATTATTCATCAGTTTTTCAGGAAAGGGGTGGGAAACTCCTGGAAATAAGGATTCCTCCCACTTTTAGCATGGTAATGAATTATAATTTATATATAATGAGCAATGGGGATGACCAGAGGTCACTTTCATTGCCATCTAGGGTTTGGTGGGCTTTGGTTGGCTTCTTTACTACAGCCTCTTTATCAGCAAGGTCTTTGTGACCTGTATCTTGTGCTGACCTCCTGTCTCATCCTGCAACTAAGAATGCCTTAACCTCCTGGCAATGGAGTCGCTCTGGTTCTAATGTCTCTGACATTT